TAATCAACCTTTTCTTTATAGTCAGGAACAGTCTGAAGAGAGAAATAGTCCTCAAAATAATTTTAAAATATTTTATAAAAATAATTCCCACATGTTATCCAAGAAAAAAAAAATCAATTTCTAATAGATTTGATCATTTAAAAAGGACTTCTTTCTTTGATACATCATGAGCTCTTTTTCATGCTTTAGCCTAGCTTTTTATTACCTCTTCAACTTTCTTATTAATAGTCTCTATGTTTTTGTTTATATTTACCTTTCTTCTTAATTATATTGTACTCTAAAAGAGAGTCCTTTTTGTATCTTTAAACTCATTCAGTTAGTGACCTAGACTAAAGGAATACTACTAACAAGTTCTGTGGTACCCAACAATGAATTACCATGAGAGCAGCATCTTCAAGTTTTAAGAATTCTTAAGATGAATAGACTTTTCATGCTTTATTAGATTTTAGTCATATGTGAGAACAAATTCACAGATCTCTCTTGAAAATAATAGAATTATCAACCTTCTAGGTCAGAGTTAATATTATTTTATTATAATAAATTATATTTATTATAATATAGCCTGTCAGACTTTCATAATTTAAAATAATAGAAGGTATGTAGACAGTCATTTTCTTACACTTCATTTATTTTTTTTAATTAAAGGCAAGTGGTCAGACTCTAAAAATCAAAAAGCTTCATGTCAAAGGAAAAAAGACTAATGAGTCAAAGAAAGGCAAGAAAGGAACTTTAACAGGGGAAACTGAAGATGAAGACTCTGCATCTACAAGTAGTTCACTAAAAAGAGGAAACAAAGACCTCAAAAAAAGAAAAATGGAGGAAAACAGTTCTATTAACTTGTCAAAACAAGAAAGTTTTACTTCTGTTAAGAAACCTAAAAGAGATGACTCCAAGGACCTAACTCTTTGCAGGTACTATTTCAGTTTTCATATACTATATATTTATAACATCCCATTTATTTGTTTAGAACCTTTTACCATATTAAAGGTTACTTTCTGACAATTTTTGTAAATAGCAAAATGTAAAATATAAGTGTAAGATATAAGTAAAAGTATATGTAAATGTATTCCTTTATAAAGAAATTCCTTAATAAATT